AGATGCATCCTGATTTTTTTCAGATTTTTTAATCAAATTTTCATAAATTATTTGCATTTTGTAACTAAAATGGACTTTTCGGCGTTGGTGGTTGTTGGAATATTTGAATATTTCAACACTACTCAATTCAATATATATATAATATTCACGCGACATCTACCGAGTTATTGAGATTCGTACAAAAACCTCATCGGGCGTTCATGTAGAGTTCATACAATGTAATCGGAGTAGACAACACGCTGTACTCTTACTCCAAAATAACTGATCTATTACATCTTAAACATTTAATTAAACAAACAGTTACTTAAAGAATGTGTATTTAATAGAACAAACCACTCCTTTAAATAATTATTTTCTACATCGTAGCAGAGCGTGGTTGAAAATAAATAAATAAATTCAAGATCACAGCGTGGTTAAGAGAAATAGTAAAATCGTGGCTAGGCACACAGAGACAGTGATTAAATGAGAGAAATATTACTCTTAGAACATTGAGAAAACGTTGGGGATGTCCCAAAAGTTGAGAAAATTAAAAATAAGTCGGAGTGAGTAAATGATGCACTCGGATCACGAATTGATTGAACAGAGTGGTTAGATACAGTCTGAACGACCACGTGAGAGTTTTGAGGTTAGGCACATGTTCGCCAAGTGGACATCGACTTTGAAAAATTTATGAGAGCAAAGTATTTGTAAGAATGCCAGAGATTTTGAGAAGAAATAAATGGGCTGATAAAGCTCAAGTTGGAATTTTAGTGGGATACAATAACAATAGCTACAGAGTTTTGGTAAATAACAAAATTATCAATGCAAGACACGTCAAGGTAATGGAAGAAGACACAGAATTAATTTGTTTAGAAGGAGTTAATGAAATTGGAAATGATGATGGTGAAAATGACCCCGTGGAGTTAAATTTTAAATCAAATGAAAGTAATAAAGAGTCAGATGTAGAATCCGATCAATACGAAGTAGATGAAAATAATTATTTTGATGCAAACGACGTGAACTTGAGACAAATGAACAATGAGTCAACTCCAAATTTGAGAAACAAAAACACATTTGACAGAAGAATTTCAAGTAGGAAGAAAATTCCAATCAATCGCTATGGGAGTCCAGTTACACACTTTATCTATATTAATTATGTAAATGCAAATGTACCAAATACTTATGAGGAGGCCATAAACTCCAATGAATCAAGCGAATGGCAAAAAGCAATGAACTCCGAAATTAAAAGCCTGAATGCAAATGAAACATGGACTACTGTTGACAAACCTGAAAATAAGAATATTCTAGATGTGAAATGGGTCTATAAAATGAAAAATTATGATACTTATAAAGCGCGATTGGTGGTTAGAGGCTTCCAACAAAAAGATTTTTTAGAAAATGTCTATTCACCAGTAGGTAAGATGCAAACACTAAAGGTTCTANAAAATGCTCAACATTTGCTGAATACGTTGCAATGTCTGAAGCAGTAACAGAAGTATTATTCCTGCGAAATTTATTAAATGAAACTTTCAAATTACAAATTCAAAAACCAATAAAAATATTCGAAGACAACTCAGGAGCAGTAGCAATCGCAAAATTTGGGAATTTCACGAAAAACTCGAAGCACATTGAGGTGCAGTATCATTACATAAACGAGAATTATGAAAAGGGAATAAGTGACATAATTAAAATTGGCTCTGAATCTAACTTAGCAGACATTTTAACAAAGAGCTTAGAGAAAACGAAATTTATTGAGAATAGAAAAGCATTAAAATTAATCTAATCTATCGAATTACAAAAGAACTCAAAAATAAACTAAAACAAGGAAAAACACAAATGCTAACGAATATTGAATCGAAGAGTTGAAAATTCAAGGAGGCGTGTTGGAATATTTGAATATTTCAACACTACTCAATTCAATATATATATAATATTCACGCGACATCTACCGAGTTATTGAGATTCGTATAAAAACCTCATCGGGCGTTCATGTAGAGTTCATACAATGTAATCGGAGTAGACATCACGCTGTACTCTTACTCCAAAATAACTGATCTATTACATCTTAAACATTTAATTAAACAAACAGTTACTTAAAGAATGTGTATTTAATAGAACAAACCACTCCTTTAAATAATTATTTTCTACAGTGGTGAATCAGCTTTTTCGTAGTTCAACTTTGAGTGCGCTTGGCTACTTGACGATTGAAATTACGGAAATGCCGCCTGATTAACTTTTTTATAGGAAATTTTATGCTCTACAAATTAAGTCTTATGCATTTTTATCCTATCTATCACGGTTTCGTCGGCGTAAAGCAACAAAGGTCGCGTGAACACTTAATTTTGCAGTTTTGAATTTTTTTAAACAATTTCCCGATTTGCTACAATCCCAAAAACTTAGTATGTATTTCACATTAATCTTCCACATGATATCTCATGGTTTTTATTCTTCTTCTATCATCCTTGATTTCCAAACCGTAATTTGACTGGCCTATAAGCGTGCATAGCGGGAACTCCGACATTTGGTGCCGAGTTACGTTCAAAGATTAGGAGGGTCGGATCCAAACTGAGTAAGTTTTCATTCGCCCACTTTACTCCGAAACCTGATCTGGTTCTAATGTTTATCATATTCTCAGCAACTGTTACACTGAGAGAAATGTCGTGATAATATCACAACACTAAGTTTTTGTGCGTAAGAAGATGAAAAAGATGAGAGATGACTAAAGATATGAGAAGCTTCGATACAGTGAATCATGAATTAGAGACTTTCATATTGAATGAATAGAGAGTTTATGCCGAGGAAAACTTCCAAATATTGAAAAAATATAACCGTTGCTTACGTTCAATCGCTTTGAGTTCGAAAAGAAGCAATATGAGGTATTCCACGCCAAATGAGTCAACCACTCACCCTTACCCTCTTGGAAATTAATAGCGATGTTTTTTACGATTGGGGGGTTGAAAAAATATCTCTCAAATTGTTTCAGATTTTTTCGCCAGCCCAGTTCGGAGATATGATTTTTTTTACATTTTTTCTTTTTTTTTCAATAAGTCGAGTTCTATTCGTCCGATTTTGATTTATTAAGCGTCAAAATTTTCCATTTTTTACCGCCTATACGAGTATATCCAGTAAATATTTTTTTTCGATTCCTAGATGCTCATCATAACAGATTAAAAAAAAAAGTTCAAAAAGTTGAATTTAGCAAATTACGTCACTTTTGATTTGTTTCATTTTTATTCAGTAATTCTTATAATCAAAACAAGTATTTTGAGCCATCATACAAGTTGGGGATCCTCCTGGATCTATTTTATTTTCAATTTTTTCTTTTCGAAATTCCGCCAATTTGGTCAAAACGCCCCAAAACGAATTCGATTATGGATCGTAAAAATCTGTAACATATAGGTATACAGTCAAATTCACTTCATTCTGTCTAGAATCAAAGTCAATCTACGCCATTTTGGCGTGTTTTGACCAAACTTGCGGAATTTCGAAAAAAAAAAACTGAAAATAAAATAGATCCAGTAGGATCTTTACCTTGTATGACAGCTCAAATACTTGTTTCGATTATAAGAATTACTGAAAAAAAATGGAACAAATAAAAAATGACATAATTTGCAAAATTCAACTTTATCAACTTTTTTTTGAAAATTCGTTATTATGAGCATCTAGGAATCGAAAAAAATATTTACTGGAAATACTCGTATAGGCCGTAAAAAATGGAAAATTTGGACGCTTACAAATTAAAATCGGATAAATAGAACTCGAGTTATTGGAAAAAAACGAAAAAGTGTAAAAAAAATCATATCTCCGAACGGGGCTGCCGAAAAAATCTGAAAAAATTTGAGAGATAGTTTTTCACCCCCCCCCCCCCAATCGTAGAAAAAATCGCCATTATTTTCCAAGAGGGTAAGGGTCAGCGGTTGACTCATTTGGCGTGGAATACCTCATATCTTCGTTTCCTTCTGTCAAACTATTCTACTCTTTTAAGGAATACTATCTCATTTCGAAAAAAGACATCATCTTTTCATTCAGGAACTTAACCCGAAGAGCACCGATTTCTTGTCTGAAATCTACCATAAATTGACCAAATATGTATGCGATGTTTTTCGCTCAAGATAATAATATTCTGTTATACGTAGTGGAAAATGGTAACAAAGGCAACCCCTTAATGTGTTGCGTATATGGGTTGATGAGTTTCCACGTAGGGCTGAGATATTAATAATGATGAAGTTTACCAAATTTATATTTTCCACCCATTGGCTCTATTGTTCCAAGAGTTCGTTTTTAATTTTTTATATTTATTTCTAATTTTTCTCTCATATTCATTACTATTAAAGTGAAATCCAATGCGAAGGAACGGGATGGAGGAATTCACAGATCTTAATCTTCAATCTGCATGGCTCAGGATAGGATTGATGGTTGTGTTAGGTAGTTTTGTCGGGACCGTGCATCACCACGTCCTCGTAGTGGTCCTGGGTAGTGTTAAGAACGATGCAAATCTGCAATAATTGATCGAATTTCAATTTAGAGATTTCTAGGCTTTCTTATTTATTTTGTGGCTTTTTTCCGCTTTCCGACCATTGTTACATTCGTTTCACATAGGTACAAACTCGTTATCAGTACAGAATAAATTTTAATTTCGATTATAATTTGGAGTTGCTACTCTACTTGTTCATTGCTTTCTGATATATCCCTTCACAGTTCTTACCATCAAAGATATTTCTGGAAATAGTATTTTTCCGGCCTGTTGCGATGGGGTTTTTTACTCGTGTGGCGTTGGCCAACTCGTGTGGAGTGGCCAACTACACGAGTAAAAAAACCCCATCGCAACAGCCCAGGAACAATATTTTTCTGTAGTGATTTTCAAGTTTTCGAGTTTGGGAAGTATGTAATACCAATTCCCAGACGAGAAATCGTGAGAAGCAGTACAGAAAAATTAATTTTCTCATTCCCTTTTACGGGAAAGGGCGTGAAAAAGTAGAGATGGGTGCATTGCAGTGTGGGATTTTGTTGAATTCAACGTGGACAATGAATTACTATTTTATTTGATTCTCTTATCAGTCTAATGACAGTATTTTGAGTCTGTGTCTGTATTTTATTTCTCTTAGCTTGCTTTATTATTAATCAGTAATAATGTGATTGGTGGCATTGCGTGCGGTCAACATTCGCTGGCCAGTCACAGACGAGCTTGTCAGGGTTGAAGATGAGACCGGATGCGCACTGGAATTTCAGTGGTTTCCCGTAGACACAACGATAATACTGTGAATGAAAACGGACGATTTGAGTTAAAAATTTCGATTATTTTTTTTTTTAGTTTCAAGAAACATTAGGATTTCAATTCCATATGACTTGATTTTTAATCCCGTATTGAAATTGAATAACAAAATATGGTATTCATAGCTTACCGGAAATTCAATACAATATTCAAATAAATTCTCCTATTCTACAAACATTAAGTGTATTGAATATAGTTGAAATCTAATTTTTGTCAAATTTCATTCACAAAAAATTGATCCTCTTGTCGCAAGGATTAATTTACCAATGTGGCCTTCTTCCGCGGACTTTTGGCTGGAAAATATCTAGTGTGTGGAATATTCCGTAAAACATCATGTGGAATTTTCAGTTATAAATTATGATGAAGAAATTGATGAAAATCCTGGGTACTTGAGATTGTGAATTTTGTGTTTCAATCAAGTGAAAGGAAGAATCGGTATTCGGTTAATTCATCCCGCAAACTCATCCCATGACAATTAATTCCAAACAATTTCATTAGGAAAACTAGAATTATTACCGAGGCACAGTCTCTTCCGGCCATGAAGTCCTGTCCACTGCACTGGATCTCGTTATCACTCTCATCAATATCAGGAGTTACGGGTCGGTTTACAGGTCGAGCTGGTCGAGTAGGTTGAGGTTTTGGATAATAGCTGGGCCTAGTTGTCTCTTCAGTCTCTTTCTTAGGAGGCGTGGGCCTACTATCCTGGGAGCTTGGAGTCGTACTTGGGGGTCTGTCCCACTCAGGCCTTGGCTTGGTGTTCGGTTTCGGCTCTGGTACTCTGTAATTGTTCATATTCTGATGGAGAACTTTGGTGAGAATGTCGTTCTCTCCGCACATTCCGTGGAAGTCGTCCATGTCTATGGCCCAGCTCATCGCTCCTGCGTAGCCCTTCGACTTTATCCAGTCCATTTTTATTTGGAGGCTGTCAGGATCTTCGTATCCAACCCATTGAGTACCTACGTGAAAATGTTTAGTTTTAGACAGTGTCTATTCACACGGTCCACGGTAAATTTTACCGTGGATATAGGGTATATTTTACCGTGGATATAAGGTAATTTCTACCGTGGATATAAGGTAAATGGTGGGGTACGTTAGGCCCATTTTTTACCGTGGATAAAAGGGAATTCTTACCGTGGATGTAAGGTAAAGCAGTGGTGTGCATCGGGCCCATTTTTACCGTGGATATAGGGAAGATTTTCACCGTGGATATAAAGTAATTTTTTTTTACCGTGCATATAAGGTGAGTGAATGGCGTGCAGTGTTTCCACTTTTTACCGTGGAAGATGGTTTTAAAGATAACAAATGTCTCTAAAGATGATGTCTGTTTTCAATTGAAAAGCGCAATTGTNTGTCTAGGAGGACAATGGGGTCTAGGAGTATGTATAGAACATTGGGGTCTAGGAATCTCCCCTGGTTCAAAACCATCTTTAGAGGCATCAGCACGCCATTTTTCGAGCCGCTCTTTCATTTGAGCCCAAAAAAACATTCATATCTTGTCTGACATCTCTGCTACAAACTCTGGTCTTCAACTCTGGTTTTAATTGGACGATGTTGTCACAATTGCGCTTTTCAGTTGAAAACAGACATCATCTTTAGAGACATTTGTCATCTTTAAAGACTTCTCCACGCCATTTTTCGAGCCGCTCTTTCATTTGAGCCCAAAAAAACATTGGTAGTGTCTATTCACACGGTCCACGGTAAATTTTACCGTGGATATAGGGTATATTTTATAGGGTTTATTTTATTAAAAATCTACGTCAACAAATGCCAAGAAAAATATGAAAAATTTCAAGATTGATCTCAATGACTCAAGTTTGGGATAAAGCTACCGAGCTTGATCAAAAATTTTCCAGTCAGATTATGTATTGAAAAAACAGCAATTTTTTTAGTTTATCAACAAATAATAAGTTAAATATAAAGTTGAGTGAAAAGGTCAAAAGAGTGAACATGGAGAGGAGAGAACGAGAAAAAATCACCTGTTGTTCTTATTCCAATAAGATAACTGGATCAAAAGTTATGTTATGGCAAATTTTGGTTGAAAAATGAAAAAAAAGGAAAAAATGGGGACTGCTGAAAAATTGAAAAATGTTTTTAAAAAAATGTCCTCTCCTGAAGACATTCTGTGAAGAATTATTTGCATTTTGCAACTAAGATGGACTTTTCGGCGTTGACGGCGAATCAGCTTTTTGGTAGTTCAACTTTGAGCGCGCTTGGCGACTTGACGGTTTAAATTGTGAAAATGCCGCCATTGGCTTTTTTGTAGGAAATTCTATGCTCTACAAATTAAGCCTTATGCATTTTTATCCTATCACGGTTTCGTCGGCGTCAAGCAAAAAAGTCGCGTGGACGCTTCATTTTGCAGTTTTGAATTTTTTTAAACAATTTCCCGATTTGCTACAATCCCAAAAACTTAATATGTGTTTCATATCATTCTTCCGCATGATATCTCATGGTTTTTATCCTTCTTCTATCATCCTCGATTTCGGCCAAAAAAAATTCCTTATTTGAGTGGCCTACTAACTTTATTCGTCTCTCGTTTAACCCTGGTCGTCATACCCCTGATCTTTGAAATTTTAAAGGCTCTAACCCATAATACAACTAGATCCGCGAGATAATTTCCCTACGCGATGCTTACCACTGATCTCCCTTATATACACGGTAGACATCACCATAGATCCACGGTAAAATCTCCCTTGCATCCACAGTAAAAAGTGTAAACATTGCACGCCATTCACTCACCTTATATGCACGGTAAAAAAAATTACTTTATATCCACGGTGAAAATCTTCCCTATATCCACGGTAAAAATGGGCCCGATGCATACCACTGCTTATCTTATATCCACGGTAGAAATTACCGTATATCCACGGTAAAATATACCCTTTATCCATGGTAAAATTGACCGTGGACCGTGTGAACAGACACTGCCTTAGTTTTAACGGTGGGGAGAATTGGTTTCTGTGTAAAGAATGTAAATCTCCCCTACAAAAGAATGTGTTTCGTCTTTTTTTCGTCAACCCAAGAATTTTAAAGCTATGTAAAAAATGTGAGAAAGAGATGTAGAAGTATTCACCGAGCGACCTTTTTTGGGACAATTTTATGAAGACCAAAAAAGGTCATCGGATGAAACCTTTTGACGAAATAATCTTGATGATGAATCTTCTACACTAGCGAACAGGTGCTTTGCGCCCGTCGCTAGATTAATTTATACAATATTATTTTATTTCATTTTCTTTCCATTTCCATCTTCACAATTAGATTAATTTAATTTTATTCATTCTTATTGTTATTATATATATTTTTGTTCCTTAATTCACAAGTTAAAACATTGAATGAAGAGAAATTTCCCATAAATCACGTGAGAATACAGATCGACAGACAATTTTCGATGATCATCCCTAAAATTTTTCATTTCTTTCTTTTTCTTTAAATTAATTAGTACCAATGATCTGAAAACGTGAACGATTATGAACGTTTTACATCCCTTTGATCTCATTTCAATGGAACCGAAGACGTAAATTGCAAAGAGAGATCGATCATCATTAATCAATATCAATAAAATGAAAAAATTGGTTTTCTGTCTTTTCGAAATTGTTTTTTTCTTCTTAAAAAATGAAGGGAGATTAACATTTTTAATTCATGTGATCGTATTCCATTCACTGAAACAGGAAATACGGAAAATGTAGGAAAGGTAAATCACAAATAAATTTTAAACATCGTTTTTTCGATCTTGAAAATTTCGAAAATTTTTTTTTCAGTAATGAAGAAAAACCAATGTATCGTCTTTCTATTATCTAATGCTGATGGAAGAAAGTGAATATAGAAAGAGAAACGAGATCCACACGAAAACAGAATTTTTAATTTTTCAATGTCTAGGGAAAATTAAAAAATTGATATATTTTTTCGAATAGGGGGGCGCTGGTGTGCACTGTAGCTGAGCGGTTGAGTTTTGGATAGTCAGGGGCACAACTGAGAGTTTTCGGCCAGTTTCGGCTTGTCTCTGAGTTAAAAGTTTGTTCAGTACGGGCTCGGGTTTATTCTGGTTGGTCTGAGCAATAGCACTTGATATAACGGTGTTCGGCTGATTAAATATCTTAGATAGAAAAGTGTGGTTAATGAGATGGAGATTAGGATGGGACTCTGAAAATGGTAAACACATTACCCGAGGACGCCAACTCGTCAGGTAACAAGAATAAGGTATGATAGAGGAAGGTATTCTCAAGTATCCCGCGAGGTATTTTCTGCGGGACACACCAGGCGTCACTGCAGTCAATTTTGGCCGTCCCCACTACCGCTTCTCTGCTCCCTTCCCCTTTTCCCCGCGATACCCCTTCCGTCCCGATTGTCAACAAACTCTCGTGTATATTTCATAGATTCAATTCACATGCCCCCAAAATTATGAAGATCAACGTGGAAAACTCGAAATAGTTATTTTCATCACAAGGTCCACAAAGTATTTTCTGACGAATGTGGCTTTGTAGGCCGAGCCGAAGGTGAGGCCTATAATCACATTCGTCAGAAAATACTTTTGGACCGTGTGATAAATGCAATTTTTCGTCAGAAGGCCCGTAAACCGCGATCAAACAGAGCGAAGCGAGGTTAGAATCGCGGTTTACCGGGTCTTCTCACGAAAATTCGTTTTATTGGACATCAAAGGGGCAGCGTATGAAAAAATTTAATAGAAGAGCCAAGCGCTCCCTCTAAGAAATTCTATTAAATTTCTATTATAAATCTATAAGAATCCTATTAGAATTCTATTTGTTTTTTTTTTGCGCAAAAGATATCTAATAGGAAAATCAATAGAGTTTGATTTTTTAATGAATTTTTTGGGCGTAAAATTTCCAGGTTCATTCCGCTGTATGTTTATTTGTTTCTCATGATAAAATCCAAGAGAAAAAATTGAGAAAATTCATCCCCAAGAATACTTATAGAGAAAAAATTTCATTGATTTTTCGATTAAATATCTTCTATACAAATGATGCAACAAACAAATGAAATTTATCAATAGAATTCTTATAGTATTTCAATAGAAATTCAATAGAATTTTTAAGAGAAATCGGTAGATTCTTCTGATGAATTTTGATAGCATGATATTAGGATGGAAGAGTTCTTGGATGGAGTATTTTCGCAACTGAAGAATTCACCATTTGGAATTCTTCAAAGAAAATCGTTGGATAAATATAAAGAGTTAAATATTGGAGAAGAATTGAATGTATAGCAAGAGTAAGCAACATGAATAACAGAATTCCTTGTATTATACTGATTTTTGTCCCACGTGTGGCGCAAGAGATGAAGTCATATGGCATATGGTACCAGGTCAATCATCAAAATACTCTAAGGCAGCTTCTCTGAATACCACCACTGGATCGAATATATTACCAGCATTCCGTCAGCCTGGTCTATTGCAATTGAAAAGTTCTGTCTGTGATAGTTACTCTAATTTTCAAGTTAAGCCTGTGATAAAAACTTACGTCAAACGAAAATAATTGGGCAATGCAATAATGGATTTTTCATCACTCTGTGACGAAAAGTGTGCCGGGTGACCTTTCGGCACAAATTACATTTGTTAGTTCTCGTGGTTGTAGTACGCTCCGCGTGCCTAAAAGTCAAATTTCCGCCACATTGTGATGAAATAGTATATTTCGTAACAAGTGCAAAAAAGTGTTTTTTGGCGAGTGGGAGGTTTATATCACGACCCGAAGGCGAGTGATATAATCCCACGAGCTAAAAAACATTTTTTCACGAGTTACGAACAATATTTTTCATCACAATGCGGAATTGTTATTGAGCCAAAAACCTCTTCGACGCTCCTCCCTTCTTTGATAATGCAATAGTAATAGGAGCATCTGAAACCTGGCTAGAAGCTCAGCCTGAATGGAGACCGACTTGGATAGAAGATCGATTCAACTGTTACTGGAGTAACGTATCAAGAAAAGCCCAAACAGGACGGGGAATG